CTTCAAGACCCGGGACTTCCTCCTCTCCTAGTCAACATGGTGCTCTGATGGACCTTCACTACCTTCCTTCTGTAGCCCCATAAACAGGGGAGCCCCCCTGCCTCTGGGCAGAGCCAAACTAAAATAGGGGACAGTGATGGGCAAGTGAACAAGAGAGAAGGGGGCAGTAGGAGAGGTCGCTTATCCGTTCCCAGCTGCTCAGACCCAAAATAATCACACAGAAAACTATATCATTTGAATCACTGCTTGGCCAATAGCATAAGTATATTTTTAGCCAACTCTTATATCCCAAATTAGCCCATCTCCATTAATCTGTGTATCACCACATGGCTGTGGCTTACCGGCAAGGTTCCATCTGGTGTCTGTCTCTGCCGGTGCCTACATGGCTTCTCTCTGACTCCGCCTTCTTTCTCCCAGCATTCAGTTTAGTTTCCCCACACACACCTCTGTTGTGCCCTGCTATAGGTTCAAAGCAGTTTCTTTGTTAATCAGTGGTATTCACAGCACACAGAGGGGAATCCCACATCAGACAGTAATTTGGGCATCCATGGCCTCAGAGGGCACTGTTTCCTGCAGGAATGCAGCCATGATGTCACTATCTAGAGAGGAAATGGTATGACAACAGTGCCTGGACTCTCTAGCACCCTGAGCCGGGCTACCTCATACCAAGCCAGCTCTCTGCCCTATTTGTCACCCCAGATTCCACCTGCTGGGGCAGTCAGCCTGAAACCCAGAGATACCCACCCACTTGGAACATCCACAGACCTGAGGCTCAGCCCTGCCCACCTCTACCACAAGTAGAAGCTAGCTATCTGTCTCTGCAAGGGCATAGTGGATACTAGACAAGCCCTAACCCAGTGAAGTCTCTCTGAATAGTAGTCTCTAGAGGCACAGGACCTGGGTTTTGTTTTTTATCCACAAGCCACAGATGAAGAAACCAAGTCAGGACAAGGGAACTGCACCTACCCACGGCCATCCTGGCCACAGACCAGGAAACCAAGGTTAGACAAGGAAATCAGACCTGCCGAAGGTCAGCCAAGGCAAGCTGAATGTAGATAGCTTGATGGCCTCCTAAGCATCTAGACCCTAAGTGGCAAGGCCAACCGCATCTCCCCTCCCTTCATAAGTGCCCACACAGCCTGGCTGTGCCCCTGGGCTAGCCAGCGCTCCTGTCCAGGGCCCCATAGGATGCTCCCCGTGACGGTCAAGCTAAGGCACCCAGGCAGCTGGGATTATGGGGAAACAATCTAACTCTATGCACGCGGCCAGCCGGTTCTTCCACTCTCTCTGAGATGGCCAGACCAGTCGAGCGGCTTTGGGCAGTCCCTGCCTCCTAGCAGCTCCCGGCTGGGAGAATCGGAAACCCGTCAGGCGGGTTTGGTCAAAATTCTGTCTTGCAAGTTCATGCTGCTTGCTCCTATCTCTCCCAGGAGGGGATCACTCGGGACCGAGGCCCCTGGAGGTCCAAGGCTGGCCAAGTGGCCATGTGAGTACACGCTTACAGCAGGCAGGGCCCTTCCAGGAGCTGGGTGGGCTGGAGTTGTTGGGGTGCTCACCTTGGGGGCCAGAGACCCAGCCCAGACTTCAGAGCAGGCAGCCCGGAGGCAGAAGGCAGGAAGCAGGAGGCCTGGGAGGCGGGAGGCAGGGACAGGCAGGCTGGCCTGCCTTCACCTGTGGGAGGTAAGGAGGACTGCCTGATGCCTGCTCCTGGGGACCAAGCAAGGAGGAGGAAGGCTCGGGGGTTCCCTGGACAGAACTTTGGGAGCAGCAAACGTGAACCCTGGTGAGACACTCTGGCCCCAATCTCTGCAGGGGGCTCCAGGACCTAGGATATAGGCTGGTGTCCTCTCACCACCTAGCTTCTGTGGGTCCAGAGACTGTGCAGTCATGGGAACAAGGGGAGCACAAGGCCAGGTCTGGCTGCCCATAGCTCCGAGCTTGGCAGGGGGACATTGTCAGGCCCTGAAGTTGGGTCAGTAGCTGCAGTACTGCAGCCGGCAGTGGAAGACAGTAGGATCAATCACTGGCCTACGATGTCTCCTGCCCCCAGGTCTGGGAGGATGGAGTCAGGTTGCAGGGCCTTCTGTCACCTGAGCTGCAAAGCTACCTCAGGCAGGCAGTGTGCACACAAGCATGAGACATGAAAATGTCTGTGTCCACTGCCTGTGTGTACACAGCCATCCCTAGCCCCGTGTAAGGGTCATGTGCATGGAAGGGGACGGGCTGACGGTGTATAAAGGCATTTACTTTTGGCATGTATACACAGATGTGGGTTTCTTCAGCCGAAAGTGTTGCTTTGTCTGTCTGTGGAGGCTACCTGTCTCTGCGGGTTTATTGTCAGAAAGATATCAGAAGCCACCTCTCCACACAGCCGCAACCCAGACCGACCCAAGAGGTTGCCAGGAGGCCCGTGTGTCTAGCCTGTATCTCCTGTGAGCTGATGATGGTAAGCAGATACCATCTCTTAATCTCAGATTTCTATAAAATAAGAGCTGCCATGGGTGACCATGAAGTGCACATGGGAGCACATGGGCTTAGAAGCGCCGCCCCCCCCCCCCGTCCCTGTCTGGTCCCCTGGATCAGCATGGAAGCTCCCACTTCATATCAGGCTTCTCCTATCTCTGTGGTCACCACCACCAGGTTTATGAATGGGGAAACCGAGGCACAGCCAGACGAGTAGTAGCTTGGCTAAAGCTTCTGTGGGAGATGCTTTGTCCATCCCTGCAGTCTCCCATTCAGAGAATGAGAGGAGATGGAAGCAGCCAGACTCTTGTTCAGATCCAGCCTCTGCCTCCCTGCCTCTTGTCTGCTCTGTGTCTTGGAGTCTGATTGCGTAGCATGGGATACTCAGTATTTCCTCAGTACTGTGTACAGCAGCATCTGCCATCATTACCACCTCTGTGGCCATTGCTGCTTTCTGTGGCTAAGTGGACATCAGATGGGTTGACTAACAGCTCATCCTTAAAGAAACAGAATGAGGGTTTGCTGAAGAGTCCTCTTCCCTTGAGGACCTGCTAGAAGAAAGGGGGCCAGGCTTTGAGGAAAGCCAGGCAGGGTGGAAGTCGTTGGTCTCTGATTTAGCACTCTGGGAAGGGAAGGAAGCCAGCTGCCACCACCCACCAGTGACAGGAGTCCAGGGGCTCTAGCTGCCCCAGAGAACACATCTAGGTATGGCCACTGAGCCACCTCTTGGGCTTTGCCACATCTGTTATTTATTTATTTATTTATTATGTATACAATGTTCTGTCTGTGTATATCCCTGCAGGCCAGGAGAGGGCACCAGACCCCATTACAGATGGTTGTGAGCCACCATGTGGTTGCTGGGAATTGAACTCAGGACCTTTGGAAGAGCAGGCAATGCTCTTCACCGCTGAGCCATCTCTCCAGCCCGCCACATCTGTTCTTATTGGAATGCATGGCACCTTCCCTGGGAATGGCCACCAAAACCCACGGACTAGTGGTCACTTTGTGTCCACCATCTGCTCAGAACACGGGATCTGTTCTCCTACAAAAGGTCTTTTTGTTTGTGAGCCTCAGGTCTGTCCCAGGAGGGAGGGCACTGTTAGTCCCCTGGGAGCTGTACGTGAGGGAGACAGGAGGTTCAGGGTTCCCTCTGTCACACACAGAATACCGCCACCTGACTTCTGCCTGGAGCATGTGATACCCGTGAGAGTCTTGCAGAAACCCAATACAGGACATGGGTGTGTCATTCCCCCCAGATGAGGAAACAGGGGCTCAAAGCAACTTACCCGAGGCTATACATAGGAAGGAAGAATCGTATTCAAAGCCCAGGCTAGTGCTCTAGGCTAACACTCCTGTGTCCTCTGGGACACCAGCCTGCTGGTCTGCTGTGATTGGCAATGGGAGGCCCCTCTGGGGAACTGTGAGGTACAGGTGAAGGGTCTGAGGTTCAGTTGAGGCTCCTTGGAGGCAGGTGAGCCTGAAGAGCAGGTGGGGGCTCTACAGAACAGGTAGGGCCCCACAGAGTAAGTGGGGGGTCTAAGGTTCAGGTGGGGCTCCTGGGAGGGTAGTAGGGGCCCTTGGGGTAGTGGAGGCCCCCATGGAGCATATACGTGCCTTAGAAGGTAAAAGGGGACCTGAAGGTGCTGATAGGGGCTCTTGAGACAAGTAGAGGTGCCATGGAGTAGGTGGAGATCCTTGTAGCAAGTAAGGGACTGGGGGTGGGGATGGGGAAAGAAGGGGAGGGAACCTGAGGCTCAAGTTGGCTCCCAGGGAGGCAGGCGGAGCTTAGAGTGTGCCTCCTGGTGAGAACTTGTGATAGCAAGCTTCTGCCATCCCTCAGGCTTCCTCACTGTAGAGTGCTTTCCTAAGCACTGACAGGGGAGCGATCTGGCTTAGGGACATGCTCTGTCTGGTTCTGGTGAGCCGTACTGAGTTGGTTCTACTGAGTTTGTTCGAGTAGCATTCAACCTGTCCATGTAGAAGCCAGCCATATCTCACATCCTCCTGTCTCTTGCCGGCTTTAATTCTGAACAAACCACCTCTGTCCCTGCATCTTCACAGGCAAAGGGAGGCAGATTGGCCTGAAGGTGTGTAATGTCTTTGCTCCCAATGTCGTATCTGCCTCCCCAACTGCTCTGGCAGCAGCAAAAGATGGAGCAGAAGCTGTTCTGCTGCCTTGTCCCTCCACCAGCTCCTTCCCAAGGGCTCAGTGCCCACACCAAGAGTGAGGGCCCTGTCTAGGGACCTAAGGCTCAGGGTTAGGGTTCATATCTCTGCCTACCCCCATCACCACTCTGCATTTTTGCAGCCCCAAAGCACCCTCACACATTCCTGGGTCCCACCCTTCTGGGTTGAAGATGGCACCAAGCCTATCACCTTTGCAGGCTTCTTACTTCACAGCTCCCTACAGCTGGATGCAAAGACAGCTGTGGCCTCTGAAGAGACCCACTCCCACCTACAGAGCTCCCTGCATTCCCAAGACTCACAGAGCAGGCCTCCTGGGGACAGCCACTCTGTTGGCACAAGGCTTCTGGGCATGGGCCTGTGTATTCGTAAAAGCCAGGTTCATTCCTCCCATGGGTGCCCATTTCTGCACCAAAATGGCTTGAAGGATGCATCCAGGCATCTACCACCCTCCATTTCCTTTCCCTGCCCGGACGGACCCCTAAAACTCTAGAATGGTAGAAGCTGGGCATAGGGACACCCTAGGCACGGCAGGGGCCCAGGAAACTGAGTTCCACTTTATCTCAGTTGTACGTGTCTCTGTCATCTGATTACCAGGGAAGTCACGTCATCCCTAGAGCGATGTTACCCTGGATCAAGACGACCTTGTTTGATGTTGTCACCTCCCTGAGTCCCTGGACAGGACACACCATGGAGATCTGAGGGAACTAAGCCAGTGTCCAGCAGAGAATTCAGAACTGCTCTTTGGGGACCTTGAGAGTAACAGCCTAGTGGTCTGTGCCATAGGCTAGAATGAAGAAACTAAACAACATATAGACCCAGAGCCCATACAGACCTCACCCCAGCCTGCAGGCTCCTCTACAGGTGTTGGCCCAGCCCATAAAGCAGGTGCTAGGGACTGGGGAAGAGCCACCTGCTGGGCGAGTCTGGGTGGAATTGCAGGTGCTGGCTTAACCCCTTCCTAGCCCTGTTTGTCCCAACCAGCTGGTCCCACCTCCTTGCCTTCAGCAAGGTAAGGCCTACCCAGCTGAGCACACCAGCCCTCTGGAAAACATCCTGAGCTCATGCTGGGTGAATAATCAAGTCTGAGTTCAAATCTACTCCCCACCCCCACTCCACCCCACCCCCAACAAGGTAGGGGCAAGTCCTCTTTGAACCTCAGTTCCCCCACTTGGAGAGAAGTTCCTGGAGCTATCTTGAGGATTAAATGGTAAAAAGCGATACCCACCCGTATTGAATTCAAGGAAGAAAACAGGCAGCTAGGTCCTGGTCATGTGACCTAGGACTGGGACACTCAGCCTCTGACCCCTCAAGGCTGGGGCAGTTAGTTAGCCCACAAGGATATCCCTCCTTGAGATGAGCCTTGGCTCCCAGACCGTGGTTGAGGGACCTCGCAATTCTTCATTCCGTGTCCCTCATCTACCAAACACAGAGCCACCAACTCTCAATTCCAGGACTGTAGCCAGCTCTGGGAGAGCTAGAGCCCAGGTGGATCTGTGAACAGTTTGGGAGCCCATCTTCTTCCTGGTTTCTGTCCCCACACCATAGATGTCTTTGCTTGGTGAGTTCCCGTGGCCACCACGGCCACTGTGTGGCACAGGATCCACTGCTCTTCTCCTTACTCCTAGCTCAGCCTCCAGAAGTCAGTCTGTCCAGTCCTCTGACCCCATGCAGTTTTTACTATTAACCCTTTCATCCTCCACATCCAACCTTTAGCCATTCACTCTCTGCCCCTCCCCCTGGACAGCCCCTCACAGAAAACGCATTTGCCCCACACCTGAAGAGCTCTCCTCCTTTTCAGCCCAAGCCCCTGCTTAAATCAACCTTCTCCCCAACTCCCCTACCTACAGGCTGGACCCAGAAGGGCAGTAGAGCTCCCAACCCTCCTGTGACTAGTGCAGAGTGGCCAGTGCACAAGGAGCCATGGACAGCTTCATGGAGTCACTGAACAGACTGAAGGAGGCCCATGAGAAGGAGGTTCTGGGTAAGTAGTTAATAGAAGGCTCCCCTGTGCTCATAGGAAGATGGTCTTGGGGGTCTGGGCAGGTTAGGGAACTTCCAGGATACCCCTTTAGTACTCAGTAGGTCTGTCTGGAAAACAGAATCCTGACCAAAGGATACAAGTTGCACAGGGTCCAGACTCGGCCTGGAGCACTTCCTCATCCAGAATGTTTTCAGACCACACCCCATGGTGTGAACCGGAAGAGGGACCTATTCAGAGATCACCATCAACACCTCATGACCACAAGCTGCATCCAGCCCCCAAGCACGGCCCTGCTGTGTCTTCTCAGAGGGCTAGCAGCTCCAGCACAACAGCTCCTCACCCGGAGGGAGAGGCTGCCCTTTCTAGAGCTCCTAAGGCCATAGGAAGTGTCTAGGGCACTGAACAGACACTCCCTCACCCTCCAGCCCCTGCTAAATTCCCCAGCCGTTCAGGGTGCCCTCCACCCACCTCATTACAATTCCAATTCAGTCCTGGGAGGCCTTCCAGGAAGAGCCACCTGAAGGTCAAGGAAGCCAGACACTCCCCCAAGCCTCAGGGAAGAAGCCAGTCTGTCCTTCTGAGAACCCTCAGGCCTACCCAGGCTGGGATCAGTCTCACTGGGTCCCAAAGGGGTGTGTGTCAGTGAGAACTTGCTCTGAAGGCCTGTTGATTGTACATCTAATGTTTCAGGAAATGTCCCAGAAGCAACAGAAACAATACCTGGCCACGTGTGCGTGGGGACACGAGCTATGGTTAATAGGATTTCATCTTGAGAGGTGAAGAGCCAGCACTGACCAAGATGAGAACACTCCCTAAAGAGGAGTGGATCTTCTTTTGGCAGTTGGTTTGGGCTGCCAGACAATCTTCACCATACCTAAGAGATTTGGTTGGGTACACAGGAATTCAGGGTGGGGCAGAGGCTGCTGAACCCTGGGGGCAAAGAACTTGTTGCTGCTGAGAAAGTAGATGGCTAGACCCACCCTAAGATCGAGCTGCTCTGAAGACGAACAGAACCTCAGTAGAAGAGACAGACAGGTGCCCGTTCTTTCTGTCCCGCTCCACGTACCCTGTAGACACTGGCAGGTCCTGAAGTTAGGAGTGTATCTAGCTTCCCCTCCCTAACACTAGCACTACCCCCCCCCCAAAAAAAAAATAGCCACTCTTGGATGCTCTGCTCCTGCCAGGTAGCCAACCACTTCCAGGACCAGGGTCTCTGTCAACCGCTAATTAAATGCTAAGTTAGGGACCCCGGCCTCAGTTCAGGAAGTCAGAGCATTTGGGCCGCAGGTGCAGATGGGGTGGGTGTCAGTGAGCAGGAGTCTGGAGAGGATCCCATGTGACGACCAGGGCAGGAGTTGCCACCTCATGCCTCAGCCCTACCGGTGCTGTGGGAAGCATCTGGACCTGACCTGTACCTATCTATCTTCTCTGCTAGGCCTGCAGAACAAGCTTCTAGACCTGAACTCAGAGCGGTGCCGGTGAGTCAACCCAGCCGAACCAGCAGAACAGACAGGAGGGCAGCTGTTCCCACAGGCCATGGCCACCCACACTGCCCCCAAGGGGGCAGGGAGTCTCTTGGCCAGGTGACACTGTTTATGTGGTAGAGCCGGGACTAGACCATTGAGATGTTAGCCCCAGCGGGTCTGGCGTGGCCCTCCACTTGGAGACCCAGTGAGACCAAAGCCCCCGTCACAGTACTTATTGTGGGTCCCAACGCATAGCCTCAATTGCTGGTGGCTGACCTGCAGGTCACCTTCCTGTGTCCCATCTCTGGCTAAATGAGTGATTCTCAATCTTCCTAACACTGTGGTCCTTTAACACAGTCCCTCATGTTGTGCTGACCCCCAACCATAAGATTATTTTCATTGCTACTTCAGAACTGTAATTTTGCTATTATTAATGGATCATAATGCAGATATCTTTGCTTTCTGATGATCCTTATAAAAGGGTTGTTTGACACCCCGCCCCCCCAAGGAGTTGCGATCCCCAGGTTGAGAAACAATGGACTAGACCAGGCTAGACCAGGGTCCATATGTGCTGTAGCTAAGGTAACAAGAAGACAAGATAGGCCGTAAGAACAGTTCTATCTGAGGGTGTAGAACTGAGCCCCATTTGAAGGGCCACACTCTAAGGCAGATCCCTACAGGGAGCTGCCAAGGGGGCCCCACCCAAACCCAGGCTACGCTGGCCATTGAGACCAGTGTTCCACCTCAGCTGTTTGCCACACAGGGATGCACAGAGAATAGAAGAGCTCTTTGCCAAAAACCACCAGCTCCGGGAGCAGCAGAAGGCACTGAAGGAGAACCTGAGGGTACTAGAGAACAGGTGAGCCCCCCCCCCAGAGTCAACCTGGGGGCCTTTAGCACAGACCAAGCCAGACAGGTGTCTCAAAGCCAGGCTTTGCAGAACCTTAAGAGAAAATCCTTCTCAAACTTAATCACACAAGGGATGCTAAGCCCTCAGCAGGAGGCATGCCTGGGGGACCATGGACCACAGTTGGGAAAGGCAGGACACGTCCTGGCAATGGGGCATAAGGAACCAATGTCTGCCTCAGTGTGACTTCTCCTGTCCCTAGGCTGAGGGCTGGCCTGTGCGATCGCTGCATGGTCACCCAGGAGCTGGCCAGAAAGAAGCAGCTGGAACTGGAAAGTGCACACCTGCAGAGCCTGCAGCATCTCTGCATCCTCAGTGAGCCACACCCACAGGCCGGGGACCCCAGGGCCTGGTCAGCCCACACAGAGCCACAGGGAAAGGAGGAGGCACGACTCCCAGACATCACACCAGTTCCTGGGCCAGGGCATCCCCACTCTCCTGACCTTCCTGAGGGAGCTCTTGGGACAAGCTGGAGTGTTGACCTCATCCTTCTGCAGACTGCAGGCTGAGGTTCACTCAACACCATCCCACAGTCCACTCCTACAGCCAGTTTTATACTCCTGCCTGCTATGAGCCAGACTAGAGCAAGACAATGAGAGCCTCTCTGGTGCTGTGGGAGTCCCCTGTCTCCATCCTGCCCCATGACCTTGCTAATTGCCACCACTCTTTGCAGCCAATGAGATGAATGGGCTGAGGGAGGAAAACAAGATCCTGAAGGAAGAAATGAAGCTGCTTCGGAGCCTGCGGTGAGTGGGGCAGCGCAGGCCCAGATGCTCGCTCAGCAGACCCGTGTCCTTAGAATCCTGCCCCACAGGGTGTCCTGGTTGTCCCAGTTCTCTAGCTTCTGTATCCTCATCATTGGCCTCATGTCCTCTCCAGAGACAAGGCTGCACCCCAGGCCTGGGATGGCTCCTCAGAGCCTGCATCACCCATGCCGCTCCCCTCACCTGGGAACCGGAAGGGTGCCCCCGAGAACCCCCCAGGAGACCTGGAGGAGGCGGAGGAAGAACAGTCAGGCACAGGTCCATGGGGTTAGCGGGAGGATGGGAGATTGGGCACCTGGGGGATCCCACAGTGTCTCCCTAGCTCCTTGTCATTCTTCTTCCCACAGATAAGGTATCAAGCCACAAGACTTCCCCAGTGGCCAGAATTTCCCCAGCTGCCAACCTGCCTGAGCCACGGGCCTTGGACATGGTAAGGACAATGGTTTTGACCCCTGACCCCCTCAACACTCAGTGCCATCCTGACAAGTGGGCTGGCCCCATAGTCCTGCCTTGTTCAAGGTACTTTGTGCCAACCTCACACCTATCAGGCCTGTCCCCAGGCCAGACAGGGACACTGAGCTTCATGCGAGGCAGGGGAGGCAAGCCCGGGTGAGATGACCTGCCAGGCTGACCCGCCCACCCTGTACAGAGCCCTCAGTGCATCTCCAACCAGCTGCACTCGACAGTAGCTGTGGTGCGGCCCGGCTCCCGGGCCTGCCCACCAGACAGTGGCACCGCCAACGGAACACCCCCGCCGCCATCCACCAGAAGCAGCCCACCCAGCCCACCATATGAACATGGCCTCCCTGTGGACAGGTGAGGCTCTACCCACCACTGTGAGCAATGCTCTGCTGCTGCCCCATAGTAGAGGCAGGACACTGGTAGACACCTTGGCTCGGGCACTCAGAAGACCTAGGTAAAGCTCCAGTCTCATGGCCTAGCAGAGCCAGTGGGATTGTGGGAGATGGACAGGAGGATCAGACACTCTAGGTAGCTGGTGCTCCCCCCACCAGATACTGTAATTCACTTTCTGTTGCTGGGATAAGCAAAAACTCTGACCAGGAGTGTCTGCGGTGCCACCCACCATGGGCTGGGCTCTCCTCCATCAATTAGTAATCAAAACAATCTCCCATGCATCAGCCAATCATATCTAGGCAGCCCATCTACTGAGGCTCCCTTCTCCTGAGGCTGCCTCAGCAATTAAAGCTAAAGACACAGGAGGAGGCATAGGACCCAGTGTGTTCATGCTCTGGGTCCTTTTTGACCAAATCTGCCACCTTCTTCTATACATAGTGGCCTCCAGAGAGGGCATGAGAATCCGCCCTCTCCCATGACCATGTGACCTCAGGTGGCTTGCCTGACCATCCATGAAGTGAGGTGCCTATTGTCTTCCCTCTAGGATCTCACTTAGCCAGTCACTCTTCTCTTTCCCCTAGCTTCCTGCGGGCCTCTCGGCCATCAGCCCTAGCCTATGAGACGCTGAAGCGCTCCCTTCAGACCGATCGCCTCTGCCTCCTGAATCGTCACCTGTCTCTGCGTCTGCAAAGCCCCCACAGGAGCCCCCCAGCTCCTGCAACAGCTGCCAAAAGCCCCCTGCCCCAGGGCCTGAAAACTAGAGAGGCAGAGGCATGGGAGGAGCCTGGTGCCCTGATGGGCATACAGGACCCACGGCTGGAAGGAGCATTGCACCTGCTGCTGGTTCAGCAGCAGCTGCGGGCACGGGCACGGGCAGGGGCAGGCAGTGCCAGGTTGAGGGTCCCATCCACACAAGAAAATATGCCATCTTCCCCACCAGCTGGTTCGGATTCTGAGAGCTCTGAGAGTGAGGCCCCCAGGACAGCTTTGAGCACAGAGGCCCAGCCTGATGGGTGGCATCCGCAGTCCACAAGCCAATGTAGCCCCCCAAGGAAGGAGATACATGTGACCACTCAGGAATGTCCCCCAGACAAGCCTCTGGACCTCTCTGACCGGGGACGGTGTCGGGACAGCCTCAAATCCACTAGCCAACCTTTGCCACTCAACACCACAGTTGCCCATGCTCCCAGCCCCCAGCTGCCCACCTTGTCCAGACCTGTGATTCACAGCCCCCATACTCTCAACAATGGCAACACACAGGCCAGAACTCAGGAGCCTGAGGAACACTCTACTCCCAAGGTAAGGGTCCCAGTCCTGGCCTTATTCTCTATGCCATTGCACTACAGAATGGCATTCACATCTCCTTGGGCTGCCTTCTCTCTGCCGCACCAGTTTGTGCCAAAGAGCAGCCTAACGGTCCTGTTCACACTCGGAAAGGACTGAATATCCACCTACTACAGCCTGAAGATGGAGTTGGCTCAGGGACACACACAGACAGACAGAGACACAGAAAGAGATACTCAAACCATTAATTTGCCTCTCCTAGGACACCTCACACCTTCTCCCAGGGACCCATACCAGCCTGACCTCTCCTGGAAGGACAGCAGAGGAGGCTGGAGGAAAACCAAGACCAGTACCCCACTTGCAGAGACCTGCCACTGATGGGACCACAGGTGAAGTCAGCACTCAGAGAACCAGTCCAGTGGGAAGGGATTGCAGTGGGAACTAATGTACAGTGGGAAGGGATTGCAGTGGGAAGGATGTGCAGTGGGAAGGGATTGCAGTGGGAAGGGATGTGCAGTGGGCATGGATGTGCAGTGGGAATGGATGTGCAGTAGGAAGGGATTGCAGTGGGAATGGATGTGCAGTAGGAAGGGATTGCAGTGGGAATGGATGTGCAGTGGGAAGGGATTGCAGGGGGGATGGATGTGCAGTGGGAATGGATGTTCAGTGGGAAGGGATGTGCAGTGGGCATGGATGTGCAGTGGGAATGGATGTGCAGTAGGAAGGGATTGCAGTGGGAATGGATGTGCAGTGGGAAGGGATTGCAGTGGGAATGGATGTGCAGTGGGAATGGATGTGCAGTAGGAAGGGATGTGCAGTGGGCATGGATGTGCAGTGGGATGGGATGTGCCGTGAAATATGATGTGCAGTGGGAAGAGATGTGCAGTGGGCATGGATGTGCAGTGGGATGGGATGTGCAGTGGGAAGAGATGTGTAGAGGGTAAGGGAGTGATTGGCAGCCTGCTGGCCTCCAGCGTGGTCTCTCCCATTGTGGATAGAGGCTCTGAGGCTCAGAAGTATTGCTCTCTTCTCATTTGAGGAAGGGAAGGCACCAACCCACAGGGCTGTAGGAGTCAAGCAGGAGGTTATCTAGCAGGGGGGCCTGGATTCAGATCTCCAGCAAGAGCCCCGAGGAAGGTTACCAGCTCCTCTGTGTCTTCATCTGAAGAGTTATTCTCATTGTCCTGGGACACCATGTCTAGGGCCACCAGTCTGGCTGACTCCATTCGTGTCTTTCAGAGCCCAGCAAGGTCAGGGCACAGAGGCCAGATCTGCAGCAACTGGAAGAGTCAGACACCAAGGTGGGTCCTCAACCATTCATTCAAAGTGACCCTGGCAGCAGGCAGGAGAGGGGTTGTTCCTTGCCCTGAGTGTGTTTCCTTCTGCCCAGATGGGACTGACCTCTGAGGCAAGCACAGAGTCAAGCATGCCAGGAGAGAGACAGGCTGAGGGCCATCAACAGGGTCCACAGCAGAAGAGGAAGCGGACCTCAGATCTTCAGGACAAAGGTACCTGCCTCCTGGAAGGGCAAATAGGGCAACATATGTGGTAGGTGCCTCTCCTAGACCCCTGGAGAATGGCATCTGGGGACCAGCGAGAGCCTGATGGAATCCCTGAACCTCCCCAGTAGAGACCTCTGTGAATCCCGACCACATGGCCTTCTGGCAGTACTCCTGAGCCTTAGCTTCCTTCCCTCAAGAGCACCAACACCAGCGCTCCATAAAACTTCAGTGGGAGAAGGGCAGAGCTGAGAGAGGCTGGGGGTGCATCTCAGCTGGTAGTAGGCTTTCCTGACATGCATGAGGCCCTGGATTCTAACCCCAACACTGAAAAAAAATTGACATCTTCCACAGGGAACAATATTTTGGGTTTTTTGTTTTGAGACAGGCTCTCATTATGTAGCCCTGACTGGTCTGAAACTTCCTCTGCAGACCAGAAAGACCTCACACTCACAGAGACTGTCCTGCCTCTGTCTCCTGAGTGCTAGGATTAAAAGTATGCACTGCTAAACCCAGCCACAGGAAACAATGTAAATCATGTTGTCCTCTTCAGCTGCAGTAAGATCAAGGCCAGCCTATGCTATTATGAGTGAGCCCCTGTCTCAAAAAGTGGGGGGGGGGGGTGTGGAACTGAAGACATTGATTACTGTCCCCTTGGAAGCAGCTCCTTGGGACTGGCATCCTTGGACCCTCTTGTACACCTTTGGGCAGCCACATCCTCTGTCCCTGTGTTCCTTCGGGGTTAGGGTTGCTCACGTGTTTGCTCAGGGCGGTGCCTTTGAGTTCAGCTCTGCCCGATAAGATAGCAGGAATCTCAGACTGGTCCCGGGTCTGAGAACCATGACACTTCCTGCTCCAATGCACAATGGTGAGTCTTTGAACACCTAAGCTAATATGCATGTGGCCTATGTTTGCCCAGGATACAGCTCAGCAGGCTGGGCTGGGGCCACAATAAGCCATTGTTGCTGGAAAGGGACTGACCGCAGCCTGTGTTTGCTCCGAGTGGAGGCCAGGGTGCCTGTGTCATTTCCAAGCACTTCCTGCTGTGTGCGACATGGAGTGGGTGTGGCTCACCTGGGTTCCCAGTGTGTGCTTGCACCTTTCACACTCGCAAGCCAGCCCCCCTCCCCTATCCTCCCGGGGAGAATTGGGCCAGGGACAGCTGGCTCCAGGCACCCTGTGGGTAGCACTCCTCCATTCCCGGACACTGCCTGGTAGTCAATGGGAACAAGCTCATTGTAAGGATCCCGCTTTACCTAGTAGGGTGACGGACACACATCCCAGCATTACCCTGAGCCAGGCAGAGTGGGAGGGGTATGTAGTTGTCTCTACTTTAGGCCTACAAATTCACCCAGCGGGTAGAATTGGCACTATTTGACAGATGGGGAAACTGAGGCTTGGTATGTGAATTGGTCCAAAGCCACAGGTCTGCTGCGTAGACCTACCATCTCAGTAGGTCCTGGGTGTGACCTGCCCAGAGCCAGATGCCCCTCCCTTGTAGTCACAGTCCAGCCACCCTGTGGCAGTGAGGGAGACTGTGGAGTTGGGCTCTGTGAGAGCCATACTCTTGTGGCTCTCCTCCCATGCTCCAGCCACTCAATAGCTTGTTAGGAACAAGAGTGGCCAGCTGGCTTCATGGAGTTTAGCTTTCCTGAGCCTAGATAGAAGCTGAAAGCCAGAGAAACATCTAGGTAGGAGAAACAAGACCACAGGGCCGTTTTCATGCCTCTTCTAACTTCATATTTCCCACAGCCCCGAAGAAGCCATCTCAAGGGAGAAGGAAGCCAAAGGAATCTTCGATACTAACAGACAGTCCCGGGAGCCCAAGGGACATGGAGGACTTCAGCCTCTCCCCTATTGACAGCGGTCAGGAGTCCTAACCCACCAGACTGAAGGATGCTTTTGCCCAGAAGTGGCTTTCTGTCACAGACTTTTGTTTGCACAAGTCAAACCACCCGACCTGAAGACAGCTCGGAACAGTCAGTACACCGAGGCTCTTCTGACATCCAGACGGTCTGTGAGGCACATCTCCCTCCCAGGTCTCTGGGCGGCTTCACCCCCTCTCAACCCTGTAGGAAGATGCAACACACGGAGGCGGGAAAGGGAAGACGGGAGCCTCAGTCCAGCCCCACCCCCTGCAACGCCCTCACCTCCGGGTGCAATCAGAGGTTCCAGAGCTTGCAGAAGTCTCCAGGCCAGGAAGAAGCGGTCTCAGGCGCCCCCTTGTGGAGCATGAGCAAATGCAGCCAGCGAAGAGGAAACGGGGAAGGCATTGTGACCTCGGGAGAGCGCAGAATATAAACAGTAATATGCGCAGCTGGCAGGGCTGAGGTCAGGGGCATTGGCCCATTTAGGCAGGCGACCCAGGATTAACTGGATCCAAGCGCAGGAAGACAAAGCAAAAGTAGCCCGTATGTTCTGTAGAGGCCCTGCACACTGACAACCTGGTGCTGTATCTGAGCTTAAGAATCAGTCCTGAGCCACTGGATCACTGGGATATTAAAGACACTCGGGGACCTGCGCGGATGAAGCTTAGGAACTGCCACTTTCAGAACAAAGACAGGCACTGTGGGCAAAGGGTTTCTGAGTCAGGGCCCAGTGTGAGGAGAGAAGGAAGAGAGAAGGTGTCTTGGGGAGGTCAAGGAAGTGGCATCTAAAACTCAGATTTGGATTTGGGGGGATGAATAGGAAGGTGCCAAGTAGGCAAAGTTCCTGACATGCTTTTATAAGTATCTCGACGCCTGCTAAGAGGTCAGGGTGAAGGCCAAACAGAACTTGCTTGACCGTGACTGAGGAAGGCCTGAGCTGACCAAGCCAGGTAGAAGAGACCACAGCATAAAAGGGTGCTGTGGAGTAAGAGTTTCAATTGTAAGAGTCTGAAATCTCTGGAACTGGAGAAGTTGTCACTAGGGCTAAGTGAGGCCTGGGCTTAATGAGAGGTACCATTCTCCACTGGGCAGACAGTGGCCTCTCTGCCTACCACCTGACAGAAGGACCGAATTCCAGGGGATATCCAGGGGTGCGTGAGCACATGCATGTGTGCATGCATGTGTTGTTGTTGTTGTTGTTGCTTTTGCAGGTTCCTTGAGGTTTTTTTTTTTTTTTTTTCAAAATTAAATAAAACACAAGCTGTATGCTCTATCTACTCTAACCTCCTGGTCCAGTTTGGTCTGTGAGGGAACACACCATAACACCACACCCAGGAAGAAGCCTAAATGTCCCTCAGGCACCTCAAGGATCCCACAGTGCCTGCCAGCATTGGGGACCAGCTCTAGGGCCAGCTCCATGTGGCACCCTGCTGAGGAGCACACCTCCTTGCCATCCCCACTTGACAGCAGCTTCTGTTAGCCACAAGCTGGTTGTCCTCTCCCACTCCAGGATTGCACATTAGCAACAAGGACCTAGGGCCACCATACCACAGGCCCAACACTCATCTATCCCAAAGCTGCTTAGGCATACAGCTAGTACATCATAGCTACCGGGAACCAAAACTCAGAAAGGTGAGTCACCCCCAAGGCCACTTGCAGACAGTGGGGGTTAACAGCAGCCTGAGTGTCAAGGGCACAACACCCAGGTCAGCAACATCATGACCCCTTCAGGGTTTAGTGTTGCTCTGACAGAAATGATCCTCTCTGGGAATGCCCACAACACGCTTGTGACCAAGCCCTACATTCTACTAGAAAAGAGAACTGCCGACCTTACCACTAGCTCCTGGCAGAGGCCAGTGTGGAAAAGGCAGGGGAGAAGAGGAGAGGGCAGGGTAAGGGTAAGCCTGCTTGTGCAGGGATGAAAGAAAGAGTCTGCCAAGGGGAAAAGGGGGTGGGTGTCTGGCAGGATCAGCCTGCCTAAGCCTTGAAAGAAGGGAGGGACAGGCAGTGAGGACCACTGACAGATTCTCCTACTAGCTAAGAAGCCACTTCCTAGGGTTCCCTGTCCCTCAACCAATCCACCCGCTGCAGCACCCGCTGCAGTAGCCACAGGACCCGACCAGGCAGTGAGCACAGAAAGAAACATAAGGGAGAATTTTCCTTTTGTGCTCCCTCAATGGTCCACCAAACCTCAAGGTCCGACCTTAAAGATAAGTCCACATAGGCTGGTCGCGGGGAAGAGCTTATGGTGGCAAGATGAAGGCGGGCTTTGTTCAAAGCCTCTCTACACTGAGGACGGACACAAACACACAGCCAAAGAGGTCCGTATACTCAAGCCCTGGACCACAGGGGAAACCGCAGACTGAGCACCATGCGACTCAGGACCACATCCATGCCGATACTTAGGCAACCCAGGATGGTGCCAGCTGTCCTCAAACCATAGATGGGTCTCTTCCGCGGACAGCGAGGGAGAGCAGGTGGGTCCGTTGGCACAGTCCGGAAACTGGTTCCAGGGTGGCTCCAAGGGTGGATGCCCAACCCAGAGGAAAAAACAGTCTGGAGGGCAAGTGACCAGGCCTGGCCCACACCCCGAGTCCGTGGCCCATAATGATCATTCTCTGCTGGGTGACCCCCCACACTGCGTCCTGGACAAGAGAACAGGGCAATGGCGCCGCCGTGCAGCCACGGACCTTGCTGTGTTTAGAGCCCGGTGGCCAAGCCAAACCTACAACCGATGGACGGGCCCACCTCTAGGACCCAGGGGAGCGCCGGGGCACGGTCCACCTCGCTAGCCAATGGAAGGGCTCAGGGGAGCCTCATTTGCATGTAGGTGCGCTGCGGCCAATGAACGGGGACAGCGGGATCGTATTTGCATGCGGCCGCGCCTGGGCCAATGGGCGGGAGTGACGGAGTGACATTTGCATGCAGGCGCGCCGCGGCCAATGGGCAGCAGCGCGGCGGCACGGCGCGGCGGCGCACTCGAGCATGGCCGCGGCCGCGGCGGGAGGAGCCCCGGGTCCGGCCCCCGGCTCCGCCAGGCCCGCGCCGGCCGCCCGGAACCCGCCGTCCGTGCCGCGGAGACGCGGGGACTCCCGGCGCCGCCAGGCCGCTCTCTTCTTCCTCAACAACATCTCCCTGGACGGACGGCCCCCGAGCCTGGGTCCCGGCGGGGAGAAGCCCCCGCCGCCGCCACCCCCGCCCACCGAGGCCCGCGAGCTGCCCGCGCCTCCGCCCGCTCCACCCGGAGGCCTCCCGGGGCTGCCAGCCAGGCCCGCGCCCCAGAGCCTACTCAGCCCCACGACGGCGCCCGCCGGCCTCAGCCTGGACGGGCAGCGCCAGAGGTGAGCGGGCTGGGCGGGTCGGGGTGGCCTAGAGGCCTAGGCAGCGCGCCCGGTGTGTGACCTGTGGGCTTGGCAGCCCACTGGGCACAGGTGGTGGTAGCTGAATCCTTCCCCACAGCTCACAGGGTGGTTGACCTGTGGGCTCGGCGGACCTGGACATGGTTGGGGTGAAGTGCATCCATTCACCCAGCACACAGGTGTCACCTGGGATCCGTCAGCTAGCACTTAGAGGTCTAGTCAGCCCAGGACATAAGGGTCAGGATGACCTAAGCCCACCAGCCCAGGAGTGGCCCCAGGCTCCGTCATTCCTGTACTTAAAGGGCTGGTCACCTCAGCCTGCAAGAGTCAGAGCGCCTTGTAGTCCCGTCTGCCCTTGACTTGACTACGATGATCTGGCAGCATCAGTCGACAAAATTGGGGTTAACTGAAGCTTGTCAGACTCCAGATATGGGGACTAGTTCCATTAAAGCTGTCCCCTCCCTATGGGGTCGGTTCTTCACCTTGAGAGTCCCCTTAGCCTCACTCACTTTAGACACATCCATTCTGTCTGTTCTGTCAGTGCCCAAAGCACTGTGACTCACAGACATTTCTTACGTGCCGTGTGTTCACCTCAGCTTGTGAACAAGAGTCTTACCCACACTTTCTCAACTCTGCTCAGCCTTGTACAACTGCCCAGACTCTCCTCCTTGCCGTTGCACACCTGCTGGATACAGGACCTGTCTGTCACGCTGGACCCTGTACTTCCCCTGTCTGCATCATTTCTAGGGGCCCCTCAGTCTGACTAACCCAGGGCAGCTCTTATTCCTAACCACCGCCCCTCCCCACGATTGTGCCCACTTCCCAATGTCCACAGCCACCAGCTACCATGTGGGTCTCAACCTCCTCCTCAGCCCCCTCTTACATCCTCAGTCTTAGTAACAATAGGAGCCGATTCTGGCCATTATGGTCCCTTCTGGTTGGTAGGCCCCTCTGCTATAGGGCAGGACTCCTGCCAGGTAGTTCCTAGCACTGGGAAGCCCTGGGCAGGTCTAGCCTGGGTAAGCTGTAGGCTCACAGGGATGAGGTGCCTCCCAGGTCTGTGAGGGGGAAAGTTCTCTGACGTCTGACCATGTATCACATGTGTGTCCAGAAGGGCCTGAACTCTCTGTGGTCCTCACCTTCGCCTGCTTTCCACAGGACCTAGAAGGATCCACTGGGGACAAGGGATAACTGAAGAGCAGGCTGGAGTTTGTGTGAGTGAGGCACCCTGTGCTAGGTCCTCCAGTGAGCTATCTCCTGCCTTCTAGTTCTGCTTTCCAGTTCATTCTGATAACCTGTGGCAGACATCTTTTCTTGGGTTCTGCTTCCAAGTTCTTGGCTAGAGTTGTTACCCTTCCTCTCATGGGCCCAGGCTCTTAGGAAGAAGACTGTCTACCCTCTCTCAGCTCCCAACCTGTGTCTAGGAGAGACAGTAGTGACTGGCCTGTTAAACAAGGCTACTGGCTCCCAAGTTTCCCTGATCTATTGGAATGTTTTGTTTTATGTGCATTGCTGTTCTGCAAGCATGTACATCTGTGTGAGCGTGTCAGATCCTCTGCAGACGAAGTTACAGGCAGTTGTGAGCTGCTGTGTGGGTGCTGGGAACTGAATCTGGACTCTCGGGAAGAACAGCCAGTGCTCCTAACCACTGAGCCATCTCTTCCCCTGATCTGTTTATCTGGAGTTCCTGAAGGCTGTGTCAGGAGTGCACACCAGCTTTCCTCCACCCAACAGCTCTGTGACCTTGAGCATTTAAGGGATTTCTTAGAACCTCAGTCCCCCCCCTGCAATAGGCTGCCCTGAAGCTCTTGCTCCTTGAGGTCCTGTGATCCTAAGGACTCAGTGAAGTGACAACCTGTTACAACTTGGGGCTCCCAACAATGTTTCTAGCTATAGACAGAATCGCCCCTGGTTTTCCGTCCGGGGCTCTTGGCACTGTTGATGGTCTCCTTTCACTATGTGCCTGGGAGTAGAGTCATCTCTAGAATCTGTGGTCAGGTTTGAAGCATGCATTCCAGCTCCCTCACCACTGCTGCCTTCTGCTTAGAAAGCCTGTGTATGCACCTTCAGAGCCATGGTGACAAAGGACACAAATCCGGTAGCTCTCCACAGCAGCACTTTCTTCCCTTCTCCAGGCCCTGAGCTCATGCTGTGTTGTTCTGTCTCATGTCTCCCTGTGTGTCCTCACAGACTTTTCCTTATCCTCCTTTTGGTTCCTTCCTAGACTGTCTCTAGCTGAGGCCCCTGACAAGGGCTAAGCCTTTGAAGGATCTTTTTGAGGAACCACTTCAACTCACAACAGCCCTGCATAGTATCTGCGGCAGAAATGAGGGGGAAGGGAAAGTCCCACACACAAATGACTTTGCAAATTGCAACCTAGTGCACCCACCATCAGAGAGCTGGGCATAGCCTAGAGGCGGAAGGCTGTGCTCTGCTTTTTTCTGGAAGAGGGGCCTAGGCCAGCCCTAACCAGCCCCTGAGTCCCTTAGCACCACACTTAGTCTGTGCCAAGCATCTGCTCACTGGGGAGCAGATGACCCCTGGAGTGGAGTTCTCTAGGACAGGTGCCTGCCCCACCCTGAGGCCCTGCTTTCTCTGTGTAGCTGCTAGACTACAGGCCCTACATGGAGTCCTGGGACCAGGCACCTCATCAGGAGACCATGGGGTTTGTTTTGTTGATTTTTTTTTTTTTTTTTTTTTTTGTAGGCAGAGGCTGCTCATTCGTTTCCAGCCACCCAGACTTGAAATAATCACACAGAAACTATATCATTTAAAACACAGTTTGGCCTATTAGCTTAGACTTCTTATTAACTAACATTTTTAATTAACCCATTTCTGTTAATCTGCTTATTATCACAAGGCTGTGGCTTACCAGGTAAAGTTCCGACAT